CCAAACTTACAAAAGGTGCCCCCCCATCAGAAAAAGCTAGGAACAAAAAAGATAACAGAAATAGCAAAATTTAATTAAAAGCAGATGAACCCCAAATTTCCCCCCTACTGAAACAGCAAAAAGACCCAAAGATTTCTTCTCCCCTATAGGGAAAAAAACCTTGCCAAATTTTAAAATTTCCCAAGCTCAGATAAACCCCCCCCAATGACTAAACCCCACTGGGAATTCACCGAACACATGTTCCTAGCACGAAGCCGGTTGGCAAACTGTACAATGACAATGTTTTTGGCCCATTTTAGGAAAAATTTTTAAAAGGGAAAGGGAGGTATAGGCTTTTATGGACAGATTTGTTTTTTGGGGAAAAAGGGCCAGTGAATCCAAGCTGGTCCCGTGGCTTAAAAAAAGAAAGGGAAAATAACCCCCCCTTAAAAGCAGAAAAACCTTTTACTTGCGAGTTTTAATCCATTCAAAGAAACCCTTTCTCACAAATGGATTTTTCTCGTTTTTCCCGAGTCAATTTTCCTCTTTTTTAAATTAAATTTAAATGCAATTAATTCATTCCGTGGAAATTTTATTTCGTACTTTAATAAAAATTTTCCCCAAAATCACTTAACCCGGGTTCTTTTATTTTATTTACAGTTCATCTAAATGACATAACAAACGACATAAAAAAACATAGGAAAACCCGATACATGTATATACTCAGAAAAGAATTAAAAAAATTCTTTTTTATGTGGCCAGCGGCGGGGGCCCACGAGAGTTTTTGTCTGGAGCCGGACAAAAAAATTTTTTGAATATTTTGCTATCATCTAATCCCATGGTTTTTTTATCTATCCCCAAATTTATCAAAAATTTTAAATAATAAACAATTTTAAAAACAAAACCTATTATACTCCGGAAAAAGCATAAAAAATGTCATTATGTAACGGGTTTTGGGGGCAAACCCAACCACTCCCAATCTTGTGATGGCCTTTTTAAGTCATCTATTATTATAAATTTTTTTGTAGTGCATTTTTAAAATGTTTTTTTTTAACCTATTATATTATTTTTTTTTATTTTATATTTTATTTTACTTTTAATTTTATGTAATTTTGTATTTTTTAGCAAATTTAAAACACACCCCAAAACCCCAAAAACCCGTAAACCCCCATTTTTTTAACCCCAATTTGATAATAAACTTGAATTGAATTGGGAATTTAATTAAAACACTGATTATTATTATTATTATTATTACTATCATTTTTACGTTTAAGGGAAACATCTTTCCATCATACATTGCCCCAAATTTTTAATAAGAAAAATCCAACAAAAAAAAATGAGATACAGCCTTAGATCAAGGCAAAGCCCTCCAAACCCAAAGTCAAAGGGGCCTGCCCTTTAGGCTGCTTCGCCCTTTTGGGAAAAATTTTTCTTTTGGGATGGAAGCAAAAAAAACAAACCCATTGCTCGTATTTGGAAAAACTCACAGGTGGATGCTCTCGCAAGTAGAGGTTCCACTGTATATTTAAATAAACAGAATAGAGAAAATCAGCTCTAATATACATTACTTAGGTACGACTACTGGTCAGAGAGCTCGTCATAAGTCCGAGGCATCAGTAAACGATTATGTCACTAAGTGAAGTGGCTGTACATTGAAAGATTCGATTCAGCAGACATAGTCCACTTAATCAACTGACTATTGGACAAAGATAAATACCCAATGAAGCAAACTAACTCCACTATATTGATGGACTACCAGACATACTAAGAATAAAGTAGAGCACAATATTATAATACAGTATAGTACAGCTGTACCTATACATGTACCTGAAGGGAAAGAATTGAAGGTACAGCACAATATGTCAAGTACAGTACAGTATAATTTTTCTTACCTTTTCTGGAGGATAGATGAACTTCATTCAAGTTTCTACTTAACATTCAAGATCACTTGCTTTACCAGACACTGTTAACACTGTAAAGGTACTTCTATAAAGTACTGCAACGGAAAAAACACTGTAAATCCAGGAAAATTGGTGACAAAATGATGGTACGTGAGCATACATGCAGACAAACTGTCATGGTCTGAGTAACTGGCTCCACTGCCCAGAAACAATGAAATGGACACACCTTGGATTAAGCCTGATTAAGAGGAATTTGTCTATTTCATTGAGGGTAAGATCAGACCAGACAGCCGTGCAATATAGCAGATTTGGTTCACTTCCTGGCGATTTTAATCAGACAACCTAATAAATGGGTATGTTGAACCTTTGTCCAGCCAGATATTGTACATTTTAGTTAATGTTTGCTTTATCAAGAGTTTATTGTACTGTAATACAGTATATTATTATTATATTGTAGGGAAAATAAGGATCATACAAAACCTGGGGAAATCAGGGTCAATCCAAGGAAGGTAAGGGCAGATCTAATTCCTTACATCAGAAGCCCCTCGAGTGCTGCAATACAAAATCACTCCTCCGTTCTGCAGCTTCAATTGCAAGGTGCTACTTTAACCTTGACTTTGAACTGGACGATGCCAATACTGGCATTTCGGCGATTTATTCCAAGCTTTCACAGGTGTTTTTATATTTAGAGTGCTAAACTTGTGTAGGTTAATCATCACTGCGCTCCCTTTTCTGGAGACCCTCCTACACATTTTTTTATATACACATACATAATTAAGTTTTCCTTATTTAATTTTGAGAAATTTATAATGCATTTGTCATTGTGCTATAGTACAGTGACAAGTCCTATACATACATACCTATACTATCAACATGGCATTTAGTATGTCTATTTTCTCACCAATATGTAATAAGAAGTTGACAAAGTCCTAGGTCGGTGAAGCACTGCCTTAAAAGTCTCATGAAGTTGCAGCCTTCATTGATCTAAACAACAGAATTCCATTCATGCAGTTTCCATTTCTTTTACTCTTAATGCTGCAATTAGAGCAGAATTACATACATAGTACAGTACTGTTTTATATACCAAATATAAAATGAAACATGTTAAGTCCAGTCACTGTATACTGTACTGTATATATTATGCATTTATTAAAGCTAATACTTATGTCTGAATTTTTTAATATGAGTTTAATCACAGTGCAATGTTCTGTATTTAGTAATGCCTCTATTGAATCCTTATTTTTTGTAAACAGTTAAGTTTGCAGGCTAGGAGCTGATATCATGCCTTAGCTCCTGTCAGTCCCTGTCTCCATACTGGTGTTGCTAACTGACTGATGTCATTAACGCTGACAACTAAACTCTCTCTCACTTGTGGACTCAACTGGTACATTGTCCGACTTAAAGTTGACTTGTAAAGACGATTTCTGCTCTTGCTTACATTGACTGCCACAGAAGATTTGATTTTTTCAAGCCTTTTCATTTGCTCCTCTTTCATCTTTATTTGTAATTCTTTCTGTTCTTTTTTATTTTTCATGTATAGCTCATCCCGCTTCTTGAAGTCAATTCTGTTGCTTCTATTATAAAGCTTTGCTTTAATTTGTTCTTGTTCTTTTATTCTAATACTTTCCTGCTTCTGTAAGAGTTTCTTCTCACTGAACGCTTGTAGTTGTGCAGCAATGTTCTGCCTTTCTACCTCAGTAAAGTGTCTTGCCTTTTGTCGACAAACCTTTGTAAAATTCTTCCTTTCAACAAGTTTCTCTTTACATTCTACCCTCTGGTTTAAGGATCCCTGTTCCTTTTTAAGTTTCTGCCACTCAAGAAGCTCCCTGTGTCTTACTTTGCGTTCTCTTTTAAGTTTTTCATCTTTAGCCTTCCTTATCTGCATCTTTTTCTTTTCAGTTTCTTCATTTTCCTTTGAAAGTTTTTCCTTTAACTCTTTCTTTTCTTTTTCTCTTTCACCTTTCCATTCCAACAATTTATTTTTCACATTTTCTCTCTTCTTTACAAAAGCTTCATACCTACAAGCATGGCTTAATATAACTTCTTCTGTTTTGTATGGGAAAATTCTCTTCCATTCTTCAATGCATTTCTGCTTCAGCTTGTGCGTCTGATAAATTTTTACAAATTGAATATGGTCTTTATCCTCCCAGGTGTGTCTGAAATAAGGCATAACACACGTTTCTGACTGATGATGTTGGTTTGAACAATCTTTCGTCTTGTTACTAGTTTCATTTGCTTTATGTAACATGTCAATGTTCTTGTCACAGTCCTTCCTTTTATCTGCAAATTTTCTCCTACTGATTTTCTGTGCTGAACTGCGGCTAAGTTCATCACTGATGACACCTCTTAAAGCTTTGACATCTTTTTCAAGTTCAATTTCTTCTCGTTCCAGGTTATTATATACCTGTGTCCCCTCCTCCTGCAGATGCTTAAAGAAGCATTTAATTCGTGTCACCTGGCTTGTTACCACCTCAATGTGTTGGCACTGAGGTTGACCGCAGGTGCTGGTGTAGCCTGACGCAGCCACCAACTGGCTTAAGTCCGCTACATTACCTTCCAGCTCCTTGATTTCGTCTCTCAAATTATACAATGTGGCTTTAATAACCCGGGTACAAGGCTGGGTGAACCCCTGGTCAGAGTGATGTTTGGTGTGACGACTCCATTTATTGTGGTTACCACCCACACACAGCGTGGTCTCCCCTACCACCTTCCTCCACAGTGTGTTAACCTCACTCCTCAAGCCACTCACACACAGTTTTTCCATCTTTACACACGCCATATTAACCTGTGGGAGAGTGTAATACACCGGCTGGATTATTCCATCCCTCAGGATGACTGTGTCTGCGGGATTCGATTTCAAATATTTCAAGTTTATTTACATTGCATCAGAGAAAACGTGGAGGCTGGTGTGGTGTCCTCTTCCTCCTCCTCCCCCAGGCGCTGCTCCACACCCTCCTTATTACGCCGCCTTCCTCACTCATCCCACCCTCTATCCCACTCCACACACTGCCCCGCCCACTCACTGACCCATGCCCCACCCCGCTGCCCTAATGTCCAAGGGTGATGAGGCCTCGGCTGCGGCCTACGACGGCGGGGAAAAAAATCCTGAAAATAGCTCACCCAGGTGTGGTTGGTGGTGCTCGGTGATCAGCTGCCAGCAGTCATGTGTGGCTGCCTGCCACCCTCCCTGCCACCCTGCCACCCGCCATGCCACCCTGCCACCCTCCAGGGACCCACTCTCCAAACACAGAAATAGAAGCTTACACCATCTCATTTACACCCTTGATTCTCACCCATATCACCAATGAGATGAATAAGTATGGTTCATGTAGCAGGGATGGTCAGCGTCTCGGTCTTATACTGGTGTAAAATAATTATTAAAACAGTGGTCTTGGTGAATGTTTAAGTCTTCAGTGCGAGTGACATATGCATAACTTTATCATATATGTTAAGCACAGCATACAAGTGGCACTAACAACACCAGTATTGACTAAAATGTTCCAGTAAGAGACAAAAAATCTAGAGATTTTCCCCAAAGTTATTTTAAGTATATATGCCTTCCCTACTACCCCTCTTTTTTTTTTTTTAAGACTACTTCAAATGATACATTAGGAATACGAATAACATGTGTGATAGCTTATGAATCCATTTCTATCACTTTCTAGGTCATTCACCATTTAAAAAAATCTTTCTATAATTATATAAGGTGCAATTGAACCATGTTTGACTATGTTGAATCATGTTAAACCATCGATCAGATCATGCTACTCAATCTGACATTATATTATTATTATTATAATCTTCGTTATTACGACCACATTTGCATTTTGACAGTAGGTCAATAGTTTGAAGCTAAGGAGCTATCTACCTTTTTAATAATACTTATTTCAGTTTATCACTGGGTAATATGCTATTTTAATAGTTGCCGCATTTTGTAAATACGAAATAAATTTTGCCAGCAAGAATTAAATTTTATAAATAGGTGCTGTAATTTACAAATAGGTATTACATTGTTTTAATACAGTATATTTTAAAGACGTTCTACATTTTTTATCTCTTACACAATTTTGGCACAATAACTGGTTGAAGTGGTGAAGTCCTAGCTCCTGGCCCGGCCCCGCCTAGGTTCACTCTCTCCTAATCATACCAGTTCCTAAAGCTGTTTATGGATCCTGCCTCTACCACTTCTCTGTCTAGGTCGTTCTGCTTCCTTACCACTCTAAGGCTAAAGAAGTATTTCCTGACATCTCGGAAACTCATCTGTCATTAACGTTCAGCCGTACCCTCACATACCTGTTACCAGCCTCTCAGGTACACCCTGTCAATTCTTTATCAGTATTGTGTACATTGTAATCATGTCACCCCTTGGTCCTTCTGTCCTGTAATGCTGTCAAGTTGAGCTCCTCTAGTCTTCTTCTCACACCTCATACCTCTCAGCTCCTGGACTAGTCTCGTTACTAGCCTTTGCACTTATCAAGCTTCTTGACTTGTTTTACAAGATGTGGTTTTCTTACTGGCGTACTGTATGCTACTTTTATCAGTGTGTGCACTTGCCTCTACGTGATTGTAGGGGTCGAGTCCTGGCTCCTGGCGCTGCCCCTCAGCTTGCTGCTCGCCAGATTCACACCCTCCTAACTTCATGGACCCTATCGTACCTACTCTTAAAATGAAGTATGGAATCTGCCTCCGCCACTTGCTTGTCGAGATAATTCCACTTCCTAAGCACTCTGAGGCTGAAGAAATACTTCCTAGCATCCCTGTGACTTATTTGTTTAACTTCCAACTGTGTCCCTGGGTACCTGTTTTTCGTTGTGTCAAACAGCTTGTCCCTCTTTATATTGATAATTCCTCTGAATATTTTGTATATGGTTCTTCTGTCAATCAGTGTTGTTAGATTTAATTCCGAAAGCCTCTCATTGTTCATACTACTTAGCTCAGACACATGCTGCGCTACATCTGCACTTTGCCTGGAGTATACCTGGAGAGGGTTTCTGGGGTCAAGCCCCCGCGGCCCGGTCTGTGATCAGGCTTCATGGTGGATCAAGGCCTGATCAACCAGACTGTTACTGTTGGCCACACGCAACCCGACGTACAAACCACAGCCCGGCTGGTCAGGTACCGACTTTAGGTGCTTGTCCAGTGCCTGCTTGAAGACAGTCAGGGGTCTATTGGTAATCCCCCATATGTATGCTGGGAGGCAGTTGAACAGTCTTGGGCCCCTGACACTTATTTTGTTGTCTCTTATCATGCTAGTAGCGCCCCTGCTTTTCATTCGGGGATGGGGTGATGTTGCATCGTCTGTCGAGTCTTTTGCTTTCATAGGGAGTGATTTTCGTGTGCAAGTTTAGTACTAATCCCTCTAGGATTTTCCAAGTGTGTATAATAATGTATCTCTCCCGCCTGCGTTTTAGGGAGTATAGGTTGAGGAACTTTAAGCATTCCCAGTAATTGAGGTGTTTTATCGCAGTTGTGTGTAGTAAAGGTTCTCTATACACTCTCTAGGTCAGTAATTTCACCTGCCTTGAAAGGTGTTGTTAGTGTGCAGCAATATTCCAGCCTAGATAGAACAAGCGACCTGAAGAGTGTCATCATGGGCTTGGCATCCCTAGAGTTGAAGGTTCTCATTATCCATCCTGTCATTTTTCTAACAGATGCGACTGATACAATGTTATGATCTTTGAAGATGAGATCCTCTGACATGATCACTCCCAGGTCTTTTACGTTAGTTTTTCGTTCTATTGTGTGGTTGAAATTTGTTTTATACTCCGACGTAGTAATTGAAATTTCTCATCATTGAACTTCATGTTGTTTTCTGTGGCCCATTTATAGATTTGGTTGATGTCTGCCTGGAGTCTTGCAGTGTCTTCAATGGAGGACACTGTCATGTAAATTCGGGTGTCATCTGCAAAGGAAGACACTGCATTGTGGCTTATATTCCTGTCTATGTCAGATATGAGAATGAGGAACAGGATGGGAGCGAGTACTGTGCCTTGTGGAACAGAGCTTTTCACCGAAGCCGCCTCAGACTTTACTCTGTTTACTACTGCTCTTTGAGTTCAGATAAGATTTCGTTCTGATTTTTAACCCCAGAGGGTTAGCCACCGAGAATAACTCAAGAAAGTCAGTGCGTCATAGAGGACTGTCTAACTTATTTCCATTGGGGTTCTCAATCTTGTCACCCAGGATGCGACCCACACCAGTCGACTAACACCCAGGTACCTATTTGCTGCTAGGTGAACAGGACAACAGGTGTAAGGAAACGTGTCGAAATGTTTCCACCCGCCGGGAATCGAACCCGGGCCCTCCGTGTGTGAAGCGGGAGCTTTAGCCACCAGGTGTTTTATTGGTTAGGAAATTATACATCTACCTACCCACTTTTTCTGTTATTCCTTTACCGCACATTTTGTGCGCTATTACACCATGGTCACACTTGTCAAAAGGTTTAGCAAAATCTCTGTATACTACATCTTTCTTTAGTTTCTTAACATGCTTTTTCAGATATAGCTTCCAACGGGTACTGGTACCCAAGACGGCCCCTGACTTTAAATAAAGTACCTGAGGCACTCCACGTCGCTCACCAAAAATTGTTTGGGTGGGGGCCCGGTTCCAGCTCCTACGGGTTATCACACATCCCAGGAGGGCTAGCGGTGTAAAACAAGGGGACGCGACCCTTATTTGGGAACCACTCAGCAAAGGGGCTGAAATCACAACAAGAACGTGTCTTAAAATCTTATCTCATGTCCTCGTCAGCAGAATTATTATTTTTTATAAAATACAACCAAACCAAAGGCTATATAGGGGCAGCAGTTTTTAATAGTCTTCCTACCCGGTACCTAATATACTGGACCGGGGTTTTTCCTGGAGAGAGTTCCGGGGGTCAACGCCCCCGGGGCCCCGGGCCCCTGTGACCGGGGCCTCCTGGGGATCAGAGCCTGATCAACCAGGTGTTGCTGCTGGCCACAAAAAACCAACGTACGAGCCAACCCGGCGATCAGAACTGACTTTAGGTGCTTTCCGTGCCAGCTTGAAGACTCCCAGGGCGTTGGAAACCCCCCCTTATGTGGCTGGGAGGCAGTTTGAACAGTCTCGGGCCCCGACACTTTTGTTGGTCTCTTAACGTCTAGTGACACCCCTCTTTCATTGGGGGGATGGGGCATCGTCTGCCAAATCTTTTGCTTTCGTAGTGAGTGATTTTTCGTGGCAAGTTCGGGGACTAGCCCCCCCTAGGATTTTTCCGGGTAATAACATGTACCCTCCCTCCTGCGTTCCAGGGGAAAACGGTTTAGAAACCCCAAGCGCTCCCAAAAATTGAGGTGTTTTATCTCCGTTATGCGTGCCGTGAAGGTTCTCTGTACATTTTCTAGGTCGGCAATTTCACCTGCCTTGAAAGGTGCTGTTAGTGTGCAGCAATATTCCAGCCTAGATAGAACAAGTGACCTGAAGAGTGTCATCATGGGCTTGGCCTCCCTAGTTTTGAAGGTTCTCATTATCCATCCTGTCATTTTTCTAGCAGATGTGATTGATACAATGTTATGGTCCTTGAAGGTGAGATCCTCCGACATGATCACTCCCAGGTCTTTGACGTTGGTGTTTCGCTCTATTTTGTGGCCAGAATTTGTTTTGTACTCTGATGAAGATTTAATTTCCTCATGTTTACCATATCTGAGTAATTGAAATTTCTCATCGTTGAACTTCATATTGTTTTCTGCAGCCCACTGAAAGATTTGGTTGATGTCCGCCTGGAGCTTTGCAGTGTCTGCAATGGAAGACACTGTCATGCAGATTCGGGTGTCATCTGCAAAGGAAGACACGGTGCTGTGGCTGACATCCTTGTCTATGTCGGATATGAGGATGAGGAACAAGATGGGAGCGAGTACTGTGCCTTGTGGAACAGAGCTTTTCACCGTAGCTGCCTCGGACTTTACTCTGTTGACGACTACTCTCTGTGTTCTGTTACTGAGGAAATTATAGATCCATCGACCGACTTTTCCCGTTATTCCTTTAGCACGCATTTTGTGCGCTATTACGCCATGGTCACACTTGTCGAAGGCTTTTGCAAAGTCTGTATATATTACATCTGCATTCTTTTTGTCTTCTAGTGCATTGAGGACCTTGTCGTAGTGATCCAATAGTTGAGACAGACAGGAGCGACCTGTTCTAAACCCATGTTGCCCTGGGTTGTGTAACTGATGGGTTTCTAGATGGGTGGTGATCTTGCTTCTTAGGACCCTTTCAAAGATTTTTATGATATGGGATGTTAGTGCTATTGGTCTGTAGTTCTTTGCTGTTGCTTTACTGCCCCCTTTGTGGAGTGGGGCTATGTCTGTTGTTTTTAGTAACTGTGGGACGACCCCCGTGTCCATGCTCCCTCTCCATAGGATGGAAAAGGCTCGTGATAGGGGCTTCTTGCAGTTCTTGATGAACAAAGAGTTCCATGAGTCTGGCCCTGGGGCAGAGTGCATGGGCATGTCATTTATCGCCTGTTCGAAGTCATTTGGCGTCAGGATAACATCGGATAGGCTTGTGTTAATCAAGTTTTGTGGCTCTCTCATAAAAAATTCATTTTGATCTTCGACTCTCAGTCTGGTTAGCGGCTTGCTAAAAACTGAGTCATATTGGGACTTGAGTAGCTCACTCATTTCCTTGCTGTCATCTGTGTAGGACCCATCTTGTTTAAGTAGGGGCCCAATACTGGACGTTGTTCTCGATTTTGATTTGGCATAGGAGAAGAAATACTTTGGGTTTCTTTCGATTTCATTTATGGCTTTTAGTTCTTCCCGCGATTCCTGACTCCTAAAGGATTCTTTTAGCTTAAGTTCGATGCTTGCTATTTCTCTGACCAGTGTCTCCCTACGCATTTCAGATATATTGACCTCTTTTAGCCGCTCTGTTATTCTTTTCCGTCGCCTGTAAAGGGAGCGCCTGTCTCTTTCTATTTTACATCTACTCCTCCTTTTTCTTAGAGGAATAAGCCTTGTGCATACATCGAGTGCCACCGAGTTAATCTGTTCTAGGCATAAGTTGGGGTCTGTGTTGCTTAGTCTATCTTCCCAGCTTATATCGGTTAGGACTTGGTTTACTTGGTCCCACTTTATGTTTTTGTTATTGAAGTTGAATTTGGTGAATGCTCCCTCGTGACTAATCTCATTATGTCGGTCTGGGACTCCGCGCATACATGACTGAACCTCAATTATGTTGTGATCTGAGTATATTGTTTTTGATATGGTGACATTTCTTATCAGATCATCATTGTTACTTCCTCCATACAAAACTTCTACTCAATTGTACTCCATCTTTTTTTTTTCTTTTTTTTTTTTTTGGCAATCGCCTCTCGTCAGCTTCTGACCAAACTGCTTTAAAGCTGCTTCAAGGCCGGCTTGTCCTTTAGTACCCTGTCTATACTCGGGAGTATGTTGTACGTTATGATCATATCTCACCTGAGTTTTCGTTCCTCTGGTTACACGAGGCTCGGGTGGATTGTCATTCTCAACTCTAGGCTCCCAGCTCCAGGTTCTGAATGCTACTTAATTTTTTTCTATGTACCTGTTTATACTTATTTATCTAAGCTTGCTGTGTGTACTCATCTATATGTGGTTGCAGGGGTCGAGTGAGTGTGCAGGGGGGGGGGGGAGTACGCACAG